TTGTGTTTCAATAGCTTAGATTCAATCTAATGTCTAAATGTCCCCTACACTGTCCAACTGCAAACATTCACTGGCTATAAATCTGATAGGCATGTCTGTTCTACATATTCATCCAAGCTGATATTTAAAAAAAAAAAAAAGACCTTGAATGTCACTAAAAATAGTCTCCATAGATAAATACTGATTCATCAATGAGCACTATAATTCTTGAGTACAATTATTCAATCAGTTCCAAAGCCAGCTCAAAATTTTGTCGTACAATCATATGAGAAAATGTCAACTACCCAATGTCCGTACCTAAGACACATTAGCTTTATAGCATGTTCCTGACCCTTCAGCCTCAGAACTTTTCAAAAATGAAATGCCCTGATATACCAGTGCTATGTAGCACGGGCGGGCTCCAGGGCACAGTGGTAATGTGCTGCTCACGAGAAGCCAACACGGTGGCTATGGTTTGAAACCCTGGCCCAGTCAGCTACACTGAGCATGCGTTCTGGTGTCTGTCCAAGAGCCCATGGGTTGGAGGACTGGAAGAAAGGGATTCTCTCTCTCTCTCTCTCTCTCTCTCTCACACACACACACACACACACACACACACGTGCTCTACCATGAATAAAGGTAAAAAAACCTTTGAACTATTATATAATTATCTTGGTGCAGTTATGATTTTTTATTTTTACTTCTCTTTAGTCTCTACTATTTCTATACTGAACTTGTATTGATTTTATAATTTAAGAAAATCATGACAGAGCTTAAAGAAAAATATTATTCTCCATTAACTAAACTCTCTCTTTGTGAACACGGCTGGCTTCTCGGGATTACTATGTTATTCTTTCCTCACTCAATTTTCTTTTTTCTTTTTTTTGAGAGTTTTTTTGCTATAGGGCGCATGCGCTCGCCAGAGAGAGAGACAGAGAGACAGAGAGACAGAAAGTGAGAAATCACCCCCCCAGGGGGGATGGCCACGCTGCAATCCTTTCTCCTCCATTCTCCTCTCGGGATCTTGGGCACGCACGCACACGCGCCTGGCTTGAGTTTTAAGCCACCGGGTCCGGGACGCGAATCGTGGTCGACTATGTGGGAGTCCAGCGACACAGCCATTACGCTAACTGCTGGTCCCTTTCCTCAATTAATTTTATAATTCCACTAGGATTCACTGTCAAGTTTCCAATGATACCCTCAAACCCAAGTGATCCAGAGGCTAGCTCCAGATAAATCAAACATCTCTACAGGGAGAATTAGAATTTCGCTCTGCCTTGAAGATGTGTCTAGTCCAGCCGCCATCCCTCTTGGGAAATGCAAGAGCTTCTTTATTGGTCTCTCTTGCCCACCTTTCGCCACTCTCCACAGTCTATTCTCCCACAGCAATCAGAGTAAGCCTCTTAAAACGTCAGTCAGGAGGCCAAGCTACAGTGGTATATGCTGCTGAGACACCGTGCTCTACTGGCTGGGACCACATGGGAAGCCCAGGTTTGATCTCTGGTCTAACCCAAAGGCCAGGAGAGACACGTGCACTAAAATCCCAGCAACTTGGGGTGCTGAAGCAGGAGGACACAAGTTCAAGGCTGGGCTAGGCAACATAACAACACCCTGTCTAAAAAAGAGCTGGGCGTGGTGGCATGTGCCTGCAGTCCCAGCTGGAAGGCTGAGGCACGGGGATCACAACAGCAAGACTCTTTTTTTTTCTTTAAGAGAGAAATTTTTGCTATAGGGCACGTGTGTTCACCAGAGAGACAGAGAGACAGAAAGTGAGAAATACCCCACAGAGGGATGGCCATGCTGCAATCCCTTCTCCTCCATTTTCCTCTTGGGATCTTGGGCATGCAAGCACATGTGCCCAGCATGAGCTTTAAGTCACCAGGTCTGGGACCTGAACTGCGGTCAACCATGCAGGAGTCCAGCGACATAACCATTAGCCCACCTGCTGGGCCTGCAAGACCTTGTCTTTGAGAAAAAAAGACCAGATCATGTCACTCCTCTGCTCTACTTTCTCTAGGAGTCCCCACCTCACTTAGAATGAAATCCTCATGGAAGGTGCTAGCCCGGCTATAAGTCCCTACGTGACCTGGGTCCCCACTTCATTACCCTGTTTCATACTGCTCTCTCCTGCTGCTACCCCACTCTGGGCATGACAAGGCACACTCACAGCGCAGGGATCTGACACCTGCTGCTACCTCTGCCCGAGATGCTTTCCCCTCCTGTGTATCTCTCTGGCTGGATTCTTCATTTCTTTCAGATTTTAGCTTAAAATATCACCTCTTGAAAGGCATCCCTAATGACCTTACATAAACCAGCCATCCTGGGCTGGGTGCGAGGCACAGCAGTAATGCACTGCACACAAAGCAGCCTGATTCCATGGTTCGAATCCCTTGGCCTGATTAGCCTGAAAACATGCCAGGTATGTGTGCCAAAGCCCAAAATCTGATAGAACGAGGACTGGAGGAAGGGGACTGTGTGTGACCACACGCTGCGGAGGGCGTTCATCTCTCTCTCTCTCTCTCATGCATACACACGTACTCCATCATGAAGGAAAAAAGAAACCAAGAGAAGAGTATAAAGGTGACAAAAAGGCAGTAATCACTGGGCTCCCCAACAATTTACACTTCTTTTTTTCTACTTAGTACGTATCAGCTAATAGATGTTTTTGTTTTACCTGTTTGTTTCTATCTAGTTATTTTATGTTTCTATCCATTAGGAATACAATCCCCGAGGACAAGGACTTTTCTGTTTTGTTTAATGCTGTATACTTAAGCCCAAGAACTGTGCTAGACAGGGAATAGGTGGTCAGTTTTTATCATTGGAACACCAGCCCCAGTATATAGCAATATTCTACATATAATAAGCATATATATAGCAAGTTGTGTTGATGAAAATTATTTTCCCTCAAATTTCACCAAGTGTGTATGTGTTTATACACACACACACACACACACACACACACACACACACACATTTTAAAGAGAGAGGTTTTTTGCTATAGTGCACATGCGCTCACTGGAGAGACACAGACAGAAGGCAAAAAATCGCCCCCCCCAGGGGGATGGCCTACCTGGCCATCCCTTTTCCTCCATTCTCCTCTTGAGATTCTGGGCGCACGAGCACGCACGCACACACACACACACACACACACACACACACACACACGTGCGCGCGCGTGCGCGCCTGACATTTTAGTCACCAGGTCCAGGACTTAAACCGCAGTGGACTACACGGGAGTCCAGAGATGTAACCATGATGGTATCTGCTGGTCCCTTGCCAGGTATATTTTTTAAACAATGATGCTTCAATAAAAAGATATCAAATATATAAGTACCAATCACTCAACCAGAAATTAATTTCCTAGCTCAGTTCTGAAGTAAGAAAAATGTTCCAGGCAAAAGAACAGAAAAAGAATCCCAAACCAATGAACACACCAAGAGTGTGCCTTGATACTTCCCACTCCACACTCCCTCAAGAAGAGTTCTATATTACCTAGGGACCAGTAGTTAGCATAATGGCTATGTTGCTGGACTCCCATGTAGTCGAACACGGTTTGAGTCCCAGACCCGGTGGCTTACACTCACACTGGGCGCATGTGCGTGCGTGCCCAAGATCCCGAGAGGAGAATGGAGAAGGGATTGCAGCATGGCCATCCCCCCTGGGGGGTGATTTCTCGCTTTCTGTCTCTCTGTCTCTCTCTGTCTCTCTGGCGAGCACATCCACCCTACAATAAAAACCTCTCCCCTCCCCCCAAAAAGAGTCCTATATCATCTCTAGCTGTGCCTGTTAACTAAGAGGGGTTGACATGAGTGAGAACCTTATTAAGATCCCTGCCCCATGTCGTCATTCTTGTAACTAAAAACCCATTCCCCAGTCTCATTTTGCAGTGCCTTGTTGTTCTACCAACTTTTCTTTTTCTTTTTCATTGCCAGAGGGCATGTGTGTTTGCCAGAGACCGAAAGAGGAAAAGGGAGAAATCATCCACCAAAGGAAATCACCCACCAAAATCCCTTCTCCTCCATCTCTCCTTCCTGTTGGGATTTGGGGAACACGTGCACACGTGCCTGGTGTGTTTTCCCAGCTGGATCTGAACGAGGGCTGGCCATGGGGAATCAAGTTCCCTTAACCATGAGGCTATGGGGCTGGGCTGAGAACTCTTCTCTATTATCCTGCTACCACTGGTGATCAAGACCATTAGGTCTCACGGCCATTAACTGCTTGAATTTTCACTTCTTCCTCTTCTATTTTATTAGTGTTCTCCACTGCCTTAGCTGACACAAACAATAAAACAGTGATACACGGGGCCAGAAGGTGGCATGGTGGTTACGGGAGCTGAACTCCCACATGGGCAACCACAGTTCAAGTCCCAGACCCGGCAGCTTTCTTTCTCACTTTCTCTCTCTCTCTCTCATCAAATTAAAATGAATAAAGTTAAATAAAAAAGAAATTCTTAAAAAAAAAACAAAAACAGTGATACACAAAATCCAGAAAGGGCTAGAAAAATAAGGTAGTTGTTGATCAAAAAGGATTGTTTTCCTTTATTTTGCTGTGCTTCTTAAAGGTTAAATCAGTCACTACCTCAATCGAAATATAACTTTTGAAAAAGGAAAATATTATGGTTTAATAAAAATAAGCCAGCTTTGAAATCTAGCCCTATCATTTACCACCTGTATAAACTTGGATAAATTATTTGACCTCTTCACACTCATTTTCTTGAGATGATAACAGCACTTACCCCGGGGTTGGAGTAAATACTGAGGGATATAATGTCTGTCACAAAGGACGGCCTGATACACAGCCAATAGTAAATGGTAGCCAGGCCTGCCCAAGGCTATCACCTTCTCGCAAGGATTTTTACACTCACAGGTTGGGTGGTTGATAAAAGGAGAAAACAAGGGAGGTACTTAACATGGTATTTGGTTCATAGTAAGACTTTCCTCCCTCCCTTGAAGCAGTGGCAAAACTGTAGAGCTTCAAAAACCATTTGATTCTACTGTTTGCCCAGGGCTCACTGTATTTACCATTTAGGGAAGTTACGCTTTCCGTCGGTACTTCAGGCTGCCCCCCCCAGGTGCTTGCCGTCTTGGAAACAGTCGCTCAGTTTCCTTCAGTGACAGTTGCCTCTTGACCTGAGTAAAATACAAACAGAAAGAGATTGAAAGACTGAGCCAACCCATAGACCTTCACACAAGTACAGCGCTAGAAGAGACGAGGCAAGGGGGCTGGAGGGGCTCGGTGCTGATGCGGCAGTCTATGAAGATGACCCACACGGGCAGGCTCTAGGTGCGTGCTCAGAGCCCTCACCAGGTGTGTGGCGGACATGCATGCCCATAGTTCTGGCTGGCTGGAGCTAAGCTGGATCATGGCGTTGACACACACCCCCGCGCCCCGCCCCGTTGGGAGTGCTTGTTTCTTTCTTTTTCTCTCTCATGGAAAAAATAATAAACATGAATCCTTTTTTTTAGTTTGCCAGAGCACACATGTGTTCGCCAGGGAGGGAGAGAGAAAATGAGAAAGTGCCCACGGGGGACGGTCATACCACATTCCCTCTTTCCATTCTCCTTTCAGGATTTTGGGCACACAGCACAAGCACCTGGCATGTTTTCAAATCCCCAGGTCCAGGACTTGAATCACACAGTTGGTGCTTTGGGATCCAGCCACTTTAATCACCATGCCACTGGCTGGCCCAGCAAACTTTTGAAAGAAACAGGGACCAGAGGATGGCGTAATGGTTTTGTCACTAGATTCCCACATAATTGACCACGGTTCGAGTCCTAGACTGGTGGCTTGAAACTCACGCTGGGCATGTTTGTGTACATACCCAAAATCCTGAGAAGAAAATGGAGGAGAAGGGATTGCAGTATGGCCATCCCTCCTAGGGGTATGATGTCTCGCTTTCTGTCTGTCTCTTGAGTTAGCGCTTGTGACCTATAGCAAAAATCTCTCTCTAAAAATAAAAAAAACCACAAAGAAAGAAAGAGAAACAAGGTAAAAATCTAAGTCTTGATGCTGACTCCAAAGGACAGGAGGAGTTTGGCTAAGAGACTTCCCCTTTCCTATCAGATGATAGGATCCCAGAGCAGAATGCATTATCTTTCTTTAAATTAACAGGCCTATTTACTCCCCAACAGTCTTAAAATTTATGACATCTTATAGTTGAGAGGGATCTCAGGTATCAAATAGTTAAATGTCCTTGTATTATAGGAAGGAAATTGGAGTTTCGAAAGGGTGTGTCACACAATTACTTAGGGATAAACTAGGATTCTACTATAACAAGTAAGATGTTCTGGAAGATGGGTAAGACAAAAAATGTATGGAGTATCTACCTACCATAGCCCGGGCACTATGTTCAGTATAAGAAAATGTAACCAAAAAATGTTGGCCCACCTCATGAATAAAGAAACCCAAGTTTGACTACCAAAGTGTCCACATGCTCGTTCTTACTTTGTTGGTTGCTAGATGTGGTCTTCAAAAGGGCCTCAACGACACAATCTCTACTAAAACTAAAAATGCAGTTTGTCTGTAAATCTACCCAGTAGCCTGCTACAGAAGAGTTGAAATGCCAACAACTCACTGTACCTTACCCATAAAATTAGAGAAGAGTTACTGAAAATGGAAGATTGGGGTAAAACTTCCTGTCTATCCTAGCCGTGAGGAAGAATGGAAAAACGGCTTCTAGCCTAAAACTTCTACATATGAACTTACATTCAAACTGTCCCCTCCTTTCATCCTGTCTAGCCTTTCACGTTCCCACTGCCTTATGACCTCCTGCCAAGACTGTCAGTCCCTTTAATCTGATTTCCTCACCTCCACTAACCCCAAACCACACATGCACACAACAGAATCCATACCTGCCTGCCTCTATCCTCTTATAGTTAGAAGGCTAGTGTTCAGATGGAAAAATAATAAAACAACAGTCCTTATCTTCATGACAGACAGCAGACAGAGAGAGAGAGATAAAAGCACCTTGTCATGCCAGTCCCCCTTCCCTAGCCCTCTAGCTCCTCATGACCCTGTGTACCTGTTCTGTTTTCAGGCTGACGTGGGGCTCCAATCCCACAGGACACCATATGGATTCTAGCCATGTAGGGCATTTGTGTAACCCCTGCAACACAGCTGACAATTCTTTTTAATGGCTTAAAAGATGAAGGTAACAAGGCTAACTCAAACCTCAAGTTAATAAGGCCTGAAGAAAAGATAATTATTTTATTTTTTAAAGATTTTTTTTTTTAATTTTAGCCATTCTGACTGGGGTTAAGTGGTATCTCATTGTGGTTCTGATTTGCATTTCCCTTATGATAAGATGTGTCAAGCATGTTTTCATATGCTTTTGTATGTCTGCTATCATATTGTTTGTATGTCTGCTTTGGAGAATTGTCTGTTCAGGTCATTTTCCCATCTTTTAATTGGACTGATGTTTTTGTGTGTAAGCTGCTTGAGTTCCCTGTATACTCTAGTTATCAGTCCATTATCTGAGGTATAGTTTGCAAATATATTCTCCCACTCTGAGGGTTGTCCTCTCACTCTACTTATTGTTTCTTTGGCTGTGCAGGAGCTTGGTGAGGCGGTGGTGAAAAAGGAACTCTCCTACACTGTTGATGGGAATGTAAATTAGTACAACCACTTCGGAGAACAATACAGAGATTCCTCATAAACCTACAAATAGAATTACCATACAATCCAGTAATAACACTCTTAGATATTTCCCCGAAGGATAGAAAAATCCTCAGTCAGAAAAACACTTGAACATCCATGTTTACTGGACCATTATTTACGATCACTAGGACATGAAATCAACCCAAATGTCTAAAAATAGATATTTGGATAAAAAAAAAGAAGCATATGTACTCTATGGAATACTATTCAGCCATAAAAAAAAAATAAGACCCTGACATTTGATATGAAATGAACAAATATGGAAGACTGAATGCTAAGTGAAGCAAATCAGATTATAAAAGACAGATTTTGTATATCCCTGCTCAATATATAAGGATTGTCTGCGCTCTATGGCAGAAACTGAAAGTGTGGAAGACATACAAGCAGGGAGGGCAATGGTAGATACTAGGGATAGTAAGGATAGGGGTAATAGGGGTAATACAGGGTTGGGTAATAGAGGGAGGGAGGGGAAAAGGGGAAGGAAAAAAAAAAGGTACTTTTAACTGACAAAAGAAATGAAAAACTATTTGCTGGTGATAATGGATATAGTATTTGTCTTGACTCATATGCATGGTATTCATACTGGAAAAAGCAATGTTGTATACTGTAAAGATGTGATTAAATGTAAATTAAAAATTAAATTTTAAAAAAGGATTACTTTATTTAATTTTATTTATTATTATGTTAAAAATTTGACCAGAGAGAGAGAGAGAAAGTGACAGAGTAGGCTGCCAGGTCCAGGACTCGAACCACAATCAGTCATGTGGGAGTCCAATGTTTTAACCACCAGGCCACCTGCCAGCCTCAAAAAATTATTATTAAAAAGCAATAGAGGAGGGCCAGTAGGTGGCATGGTGATTAAGGGCACTGGACTCCCACATAGCTGACCATGGTTCAAGTCCCAGACCTGGTTTCTTTTTTTCTTTTTTCTCTCTCTCTCCCCCCCCCTAACCTGGTCAAAATAAATAAAATTAAATAATTCTTTTAAAAAAGCCAGCAATAGAGGTCCAGCAGGTGGTGTGGAGGTTAAGGCACTGGGTATCACATGGCTGACTTTGCAGTACAACTCTTGAACCCGGAGAAGGGACTGTAGCATGGCCGTCCCTCCCAGGGGCTGATCTCTTTTTTTTTTTGGAGAGGTTTTCACTATAGGGCGCGTGTGCTCGCCAGAAAGACAGAGAGAGACAGAAAGATATAAAGCGAGAAATCACCCCCCAGAGGGGATGGCCACGCCGCAATCCCTTCTCCTCCATTCTCCTCTTGGGATCTTGGGCACACACACACACACACACACACGCCCAGTGTGAGTTTAAGCCACCGGGTCCAAGACTCAAACCGTGGTCAACTACATGGGACTCCAGCGACATAGCCATTACGCTAACTGCTGGTCCCAGGGGTTGATTTCTCACTCCTATCCCTCTCTCTCTGGTAAGCACAAGTGCCCTATAGCAAAAAAAAAAAAAAAAAAAAAAGGCAATAGAGATGGCTTGAAAAGAAGCCTAAAAAAGGATCTATAGCAGGAGACCAGTAGTTAGCGTAACAGCTATGTCGCTGGACTCCTATTGCAGTTGACCGCAGTTCGTGTCCCGGACCCAGTGGCCTAAACTCAAGCCGGGCACGTGTGCGTGTGTGTCTCCAAGAGGAGAATGGAGAAGGAATTGCAGCGTGGCCATCCTGGGGAGGGTGGGGTGATTTCTCGCTTTCTGTCTCTCTGTCTCTGTCTTCCCAGCGAGCGCACGTGCCCTATAGCAAAAACCTCTTCAAAAAAAAAATAAATAAAAAGAAAAGAAAAGAAAAGAAAAAGAAAAGGATCTATAGCAGGAACAGCACCTAAGGACAGCTTTGGCTCTCTTCTTCCACCCCCAACTTAAAAAAATACTCAGTAAATTAAGTGTGACCAGTATTTAAACAGCTCAAGATAGGCCGGCCCATAGACCTGTCCTACTCCCCATCACCTGTCTTTTTCCTCATCCTTGCCTACCTTATTCACACACACACACACACACACACACACACACACACACGCAACCTTCTTTTGCATAGCCTAAAACTTGTCCTGTATAAATATTCTGGGGTCAGTCAATGGTATGGTGGCTACGGCCACTGGATGGCCAACTGCACAGTTTGAGTCCCAGATCCAGTGGCTTGAAGAGTACACCAGGTGCATGTGTGTGCATGCCCCAAATCTCAGAAAGATACATGGAACAGAAAGGATGTGGCATGACTGCTCCCCGTGGGAGGGAGGTATGCTTTTTCACTTTTTCTTTCTCTCCCTCTCTATGCCCTCACACACACACACTCCAGCAAGCATATATACCCTCTAGCAAATTAAAATAAAAATTGTGAACACTTGGGACCGACCAGCAGACGGCATGGTCACTGGACTCCCACATAGTCGATCACAGTTGGAGTGCAGGATCCGGTGGTTTAAAACTCATGCTGGGCACGTGTATATGCATGCCAGAGATCCCAAAAGGACACTGGAGGAAAAGGAACTGCGGCGTGGCCATCTCCCCTGGGGTGTGTGTGTGATTTATCACTTTCTGTCTCTTTGTCTATCTCTCTCTTTCCAGCGAGTGCATGTACTCTATGGCAAAAATCTCTCATAAAAACAAACAAAAAACCAACTTGAACACTAAGAAATGGCCACACAAATCTGGTCTCTGGTTTAAGATTCTGTGGTCCCAACAGTGACTGCCACACCCCAGCTGAAAGCTGCTGCCCTAGCACCCACCACCTACTGCCAAATTTGCTGACATGTCAGTAAGGCCCAAGGGGCTTTTCTCTTCAAAACAGGATGGAATGCACTGCCAAAAGTCAAACAAACAGGAACTTCAGATGATCCTGGTTTGTTTTCAATTGTCTACATTCTCCTTATATCTAAGGGTAACAGCAAGGGATTTCTTTCCTTTGCTTCTGAATGTCATTCACTCTTGCATCCTCAGCGTACTGACCTCTGTCCCCAGAAACAGGAGCACTGTAAACATTGTCAAACTCCAGGGCTGCCCCTTCAGAGAGCTCTTCACGACAGGTCCACCCTCATCACTTTCCTCAGGCACCTCTTCTAGGGCTTCTCATCACTGCTGCTGGTGGTGACAGGAGTGAGGAGCATGTACACTGTCTTTCTAAAAGCAGAGATGAAATGACCCTCATAGAGCATGGAGAACCAATTGCCTTGTTTTCTGGAGAAGCAAGTAAGTCCCAGAGAGACTTGTCCAAGATTACAAAGCAATTTAAAGTGAAATGGTTGATTCTTTTTGTTCCCAAAACACTTGATGACAGATAAAAACAATAGTAGGGAATTCCTCCCACAGATAAGCACTGTAAACCTGGATAAAATACAAAAAGCAGCTCTCTGAAGTGAGGCCTGGCAAATTTTGTAAAGAAGTTGAAAACTGGAAGAAGGGACTGGCATGGGATGAATTCCCCATTTTTAGAGCTCTAGCCTGAGAGTGATCCAGCTGAAGATCCAATTAAAAAAATGAACTCTAGGATTTTTGTCTGGAGCAACCAGAAGAAAGAGCCCAGAAAAGCCACAGAGTGGGAAGAAAGAAAGAAGAGAGCCACAGAGAGAGCCCCAGGTTCTGCGTATCAGTCTGCCCGCCTCTGGATGACCACCGTACTATGCATGCACAGGGAGGAATCCGAAGACCTCAGCTAAGGACAGAAGAACTGGTCTGAGGTTTGAACCACTGCCCATGTAGATTCAAAGAAAGAATTCACAGTTGAGTCTAACTGGGTTAACTGTCTGCTAAAATAAAAACATTGACTGAAACCAGACTCTCAGGGCTGGCTTTGTGGCCTAGTGGTTGGGAGGGCCGGATCCCACATGGCTGGCCACCTGTTTGCGTCCAGCCCTGGCAGCTTGAGGAACACACTAGTCGCAGGTGGATGTATGCCCCAAATCCCAACAGGATGGAGAATGGAGAAGGGATCATGGCATGACCATGCTGGGGTGGAAGGAGAAAGTTCTCCCTCTTCCTCTTTTTGTCTGTCTGTCTGTCTCTGGCAGCACACACACTCCCTGGCAAATTTTTAAAAAGAAAGCAGAGTCTCTACAAGTAACATTTTCAATGTGCAAAACACAGTCCCAAATTACACAAAGTAGAAAAATTAAACCATTTGCAAAGGAAAAAACAATCAGGAGGGGACCAGCAGATGGAATAATGGCTAAGTCGTTAGACGCCCATTTGGTCAACTGCAGTTTGAGTTGCAAACCTGGCAGCTTGAAATTCAAGCCAGGCACGTGTGCGTGCCCAAAATCCTGAGAGGAGAATGGAGGAGAAGGTGGTGTGGTGTGGCCAACACCCCTAGAGGGTGATTTCTTGCTTTCTGTCTCTATGGCAAGCACATATGCCCTGTAGCAAAAATCTCTTTAAAAAATAAATAAATAAAACCAATCAGCAGAAGGCAACTCCAAAATGATCCAGATGTTGACATTATAAGACAAGGATATTAACATAAATACTGTAACTGGGCTCAATGAGGTGTAGGGATATGTGTTCAAAATGAAGGAAAAAATAGTAAATCTCAGCAGAGAAACTGAGAAAATTTTTAAAGTGGAAATTTTAGAAGAAAAATACAGTGTCTTAAAAAAAAAAAAAAAAGACCGAATGGGCTTCCAAACAAAATGAAGATGACAAAGGGAAAAGTCAGTAAAATCTGAGGTAAAGCAACAGAAATTACCCAGACCAAAATCCCTCTGGGTCATCTACAGTCTCTAGAAAACCACCCTCAGATGCTTCGCTCAACTGTGCACTGTAAAGCGTAATACTTCCTTTATTAGAAAGATGAACAGCGGAGAGACAGAATGACTTGTGATCACAGAAGTAGAGAAACTGTTCTCCACAATGTTATTGGACCAAGCCACCCTCAACTTCCAATTAACCTCCTGGGTCTCCCCCAGAAATGAGCAAAGAAATGTAAAGGTGGCAGATGAGAGAGCAGGATAAAATTTAAAACCTGAGACAACCATAATATCCGAAGTCCCAGGAGCCGATCTAGAGCTCCGCTGAATAGTGAAAACAAGAGAGCTGTCACCCCCACCCCCCTCAATTGCCAAAGCAGCATTCAGGATTGTTTAGGGGAAAGTCAAGAAGAATTTTAAAGGTTTCTCTGTGCTGTGTGGTCTCCTGTAAACAGGCCAATGGCAGGACCAAACTGACAGAACCAACCAGCAGGTCTGGGGCTGAAGAGAGTCAGCAGCTTGGTAAGAGCTAGCCTAGTTCCGCCAAGGTTGGTACAAGTAGCTAACCTGGGGCTGCCCCAGGTGACATGCACACATCCCAGGATCCTGATGAGATGAAGAAATGAAGGAAAAAGGATTGTGGTGTGTACAGTCAGACCCATATTGGGTCTCTCTCCTCACCCTTTCTCTTGCACATAAGCCTTCTGGTAATTAAAAAAAAAAAAAAAAAGAAGAAGAAAAAAGCAGCTAATCTGAATGCCATCACTGAGTAGTTTTCTACACTCAAGCCACTTCATGTTGGAGTTCAGGGTACTTTACGTGACAGTGGGAGGAAACCCAAGCTGCAGAAGACATGTCAATTTCTCTGGGACCTGCCATTTTCTCAAACCCCTCATCCTCACCTTCCCCGTCCAAGGAGAAAATGAGAATCCAGAGCAAGTAATCTTGCCTGACTGAAATGGAGAACTGAAAAATAAGACAACATGCCCTCTAAGTAGAAAAAAAACTTGGATGAAGAAGCCTAGGTGGCAGCCCTAGTTCTGCCACTAACATACTGCTGGAGCTCAGATAAAGTCTTTTTTTAAAAAAGACTCTCTGGGTCTCATCGGTTGAACAAAAGGGACAGACTTTATGACTTCTACCAATGCTATGTTACTGTCCTATCCAATAACAACATGTATGACATCTTTACCCATGGTATCTCCATCTGCCCTTGAAGAAGCTATGAATAGGTTCCAAAAGATAGAAGGGGAAACATTCCAGTTCATTTGATTCAATAGAGTATCTCAGTGTTATACAATAATTCAAATTTTTCAAATAATAATTTTGAAAAGCCTTGTCATTAATCCTTAAATTATGTCAATAATAGAGATTTCAGTACCTCGCTATGATGGAAGGCTGCTAAAATAATGTCTTCATCTGAAAGTGCTTCAGAATTCTTCCAGGATAATTTTTTTATTTATATAACCCTTGGGATGAAAAGGCACATATTTTTATCCCTCATAAGACAGATAAGCAAACAGACTAAGACCTGTGACCCTTTCAGAAGTTAGTAAAAAGATGACTAGGAGCCAGCAGGTGGCATGGTGGTTAAGGCATTGGATTCCCACATGGCCAACCATGGTTCAAGTCTCATGGCTTGAAACTCATGCCAGGTGCATATGTGTGCATGCCCTGAATCACAAGAGGAAAAACGGAGGAGAAGGGATTGGGGTGTTGCCATCCACGGGAAGATGGGTGATGTTTCTCACTTTCCCTCTTTTTTGTCTCTCTCTGCCTCTTTCCAGTGAGAACACACACTGTATGACAAAAACCTTAAAAAATAAATAAATGAAAGAGAGAGCACTAGAATTCAGCAATCTCATCTCTGTGCATCTGGTTCTTTACCTTGCTACATAAAAAACTAGGAATTAAGCAAGATTGGAATTAGAAAAAAGGGGGCTAGCCCCATAACAAAGTAGTTAGTGCTATGCATGGAGAGGGTCCCAGATGGCCAACTGTGGCTTGAAACCTGGTCCCAGCAATCTGAAAAACATGCCAGGTATATGTGTATGTGCCCAGGATTCTGACAGGAGGGAGATATGAAGGGAAAAAATGATTGAGATGTGACATCGCCCCATTCGGAGGGTGTACTCTCGCTCGCTCATGGTCTCTGATGCCCTATGGCAATAAAAAAGAAAAAAAGGACTTAGGGCCTTCATGTACTTTGAGATGACTTAATAACTAATAAGACAACGTGAGATCAGTTTATCTATTATACGTAAAAGCTGCCCTCAACACCACTTGGCTCTGTTTCCTTTTCTAAACAATCTGCAGTTGAGACTGGGCTTCCCTGCCATTAGCCCATGTTTGTGAAGTTTAGCAACAGAACCTGGTGAAGTAAGTTGGAAGAACAGAAGAATAAGCTGTGTCTCTTGAACCTGCAGGAGCCTCTGATCAAGATTTCAAGGCCCACAAGAATTTTAACAGTATGGGGAACCAGCAGTTAGCATAATGGCTATGTCGCTGGACTCCCACGTAGTCGACCGCGGTTCGTGTCCCGGACCCGGTGGCTTAAAACTCACGCCGGGCGCGTGTGCGTGCGTGCCCAAGATCCCGAGAGGAGAATGGAGGAGAATGGAGGAGAAGGGATTGCGGCGTGACCATCCCCCCTGGGGGGTGATTTCTCGCTTTCTGTCTCTATGTCTCTCTCTGTCTGTCTGGCGAGCGCACGCGCCCTACAGTGAAAATCTCTCCAAAAAAAAAAAAAAGAATTTTAACAGTATGGCAAATGTAGTTAAAGAGCAGGCTGTAATAATTACTTGATGGAGAACTGAACCAAAGAGCTTTCACTGTCTAACTTAATCTTCATGGTAACCCTAATCAGATAAATTCCATCACTTTTTTTGTTTTTATTACAATTTCTAATTTACATATAATGATTGTACATCTTTGTGGGGTACAGTACAGTATATGCAGTGTATAAATCAAGGATATAAAGATATTCATCATCTTCAACAAGGAACATATTATGTTGTGTACTATTGATATTTGTTCTACTAGGGCTTTTTCATTTCTTGGAGGTACAATATTAGATTAACAACATCCTTGTTTACCCTGTTGTGGTACGCTGTTCCACCTTATTTGCCTTCATACATTTTCAGGTCTGTTGATCATTTTCCCCCCAGTCTCCCACCCCCATGCAGTCTCAGGGATCCAGTGTTGCATTCTACTTCTATACCACCAAGGCTCTCAATTTCCACCACAGTACAGACAATATGTATGTGTTAAGTAAGGACGTACAGCATC